TCCACCCTTCCCATTAATCTGGTGAAAAACTTGGAAATCATTACTGGAACTAAACTTACTCTCTCTCTTTTACACTCTTGCACACACACCACCACCAACACCCCCCACCCCCAATCCCCTTCCACATCCACTCAATCAGAAAAATTCCTGAGTCTCCTTCCAAACACAAGTAAATCTAGAAATCAGCCACTTCTCCCCATTTCCACTGCTATCTCTACCCATTCTGGTCTAGAGTACATTTATCCCTCATCTGTATTATTGTTAATCAGCTCCTAATTGTCATCTCTCTTTCCTGTCAGACTTCTCTATCATCTTTTGTCAACCCAACAGCCACAAAGCTACTGTTAAGGCAAACCAGATCATGCCCCACTTCTGCGTCAACCTGCAAGGCTCCCACCCTCACCTTGGCCTCAGCTCCATTACTTCTCGGAGCTCTTCTCCCACAAGCCCCCTCTGCCTTATTCAACTTCAGCCACAACATCACTTGAAATTGCTATTCCTCAGATGTGTCAAGACATTCCAGCCTTAAAAGCTGAGAAACAGCCATTCCTTTTCCTTCGGACAATTAACTCTCCTACCTCTCTCCAACAGTACAAGTGAGGTGGTTAAGCTCCCACACTTGGTGTTAGGCCTCACTGGGTTCCGATTTACCTTCTGCCAGAGACTAGGATCAGCTGCGGGAACTTGGACTTCCATCGTGACGACAGAGGTCTGAGGACAAGGACTGGGCAAAGGCCTCTGCAGGGTTGGGCCCGCCCTCTTTCTAGTTGGATGGTGGAAAAGCAGGTATGAAAATCCATCAGGAGGCACATTTAAGATTGGTGCATTTTTCTACATGCATGTTATACTTCAAAAAAATTTTTAAATACTTTAAAATTTAACGGTAAGTAAACCAATTGCTATCATGTGAACCAAATCTTTTGCCATTAAATCAATTCTAGTGCACGGTGACCAATAGGACGGAGCAGACTCATTCTGTTGGGTCTCCAAGGTTGTACAGGAAGCAGATCCTCTTCCTCCCAAAGAGTGGCTGCTGGGTCAGCAAGAGCGTGCTCTAACCACGCCATCAAGGTGACTCACGCTCACAGAAATAAGCTACAAATGAAAACATCTAGAGAAAAATGTTTTCTCCAAAAGACAGACCACTAAAAATTATTAACAACCTATATGGAGATCTCATGATACGCTTAATGATCTTTCAGAAGGTACTCATAAACATCAAGTATCAAAATAAGAAAGCACGGTGAAATTCAGAATAATTGAAGATAAGTTGTTCTTCCAAGGATGTTGGAGACTAAAACGACCTAAATATCAAAGGAACAGAATTGGTTCAATGAAAATCTTTTCATTGCTGATACCAAGGGCTCAAGTAGAAAGCAAATCTTTTGAGAATGATGAGGGCAACAAATGTATAAATGGGCTTGACACAATGGATGGATATACGGATTGTGAGGAGTTGCACAAGCCCCAATAAAATGATTTAAAAAAAAAAAGAAAGCTAAGAGTTATGAAAAAAAAAAAGAAAGAAAATCTTTTCATTGAAGCAAGCACATAGAAAGATCCAGACATGAAAATATGGCAAACATAAACATGAAACTACAGCAAAACATAAACAAGGCCTCTGAGAAAACAAGGCATGGCTTCACTGAAATACAAGCTTGATTATCGGCCCCTCTCTCCATCTGATTTTGTTTAGTGTTTATCAGAATCAGTGTGAGCAAGGGCATGAAGACCACAACTTGTTGACAAACAATGGTGCTCATTGAGCTTAGTTGCAGAATTGCTGTAGCAAACAAACTCTATGTGGAAACCCAATATGTAAACAGATAACAGAGTAACTATTCTCACTCTGTATGAAACACAAGGCTTCAGGCCATGAGGGAAGCTAGGCGCAAGGCCTTCCCTGTAGCCTCCTGAAGGGCCCAGGTGAACCTTAGCAAAGTGTGAAAATGTGAAAACGCTGTATCTCGTGGTCACCACCAGTGGCTCAGCCACACTGGAAGGTCTCACTTGCCTTCCCCTCCCATCTCTCCATGTTTCTCCTTCCCAACGATGCACACGGAGGACGACAGGCTGAAACGTGAAAGGGTCAGTCTTGGGTGACGAGTTTACCACGCACTAAGGAAGTCACCAGAAAAGAGAAGTCTGTTGGCTTCATCTCAAACAGCCCTATATGGACAGATAGCCCAGTTATAGATCTAGATTTACATTCTATTAATCCTACCTGGGGAAGCAATGGTGAAGTGCTTAGCTATTACCCAAAGTTTGACAGTTCAAACCCACCCAGCAGCTCTGCAGAAGAAAGACCTGGCAGTGTGCTCGAATAAAGATTACAACCTAGGATACACCACGGGCAGTCTTACTCTGTCGAATGGGGCGGTTCTAGGTCAAAATCCATCAACAGCACCCAACAATAACAATTCACTTGGTCAAGTCCTCTTTTCTAGTCAACTCCCATTTCTTATGTGATGCCTGACACACACTTCCTGGGTAGCACACTTCTTGCCAGCCCTTTACACTCCGTAGGCTCTCGCAGCCCCATGTTGACTCCTTCACTTGAGTGTCTTCGGTTCTGTGTACTATGTACTTCTCTTTCTGTTTAATCTAGATTACCACTGATGGCTTCGAAAAGCTGAGACTAGATTTTATGACCACCCACAGGGTGAGGACGCCATGCGCTCATGTGTAAGTGTCTACCAAACTTACTCTCTGCATGTTTCCTGAGACAGTACACACGATGGGCTACTAACTGCAAAGTCAGCGGTTTGAATCCACCAGTCACTCCAAGGGTGAAGGACCAGAAAGAGGCCTTCTGATCCCTTAAAGAACCCTTCTGATCCCTCAAAATCCCGCAGGGGCAGTTCTACCCATCTTAAAGGGCTACAATGAGCTAGCAGCAACTCAATGGCAGTGAGTCTAGTTTGTTCTTTTGGGAGGCAGGGTGTTGGAGGACTGTCCTTTCCCCTCAGCGGTCACATGTAACACAATTGGCTTTGGATTTGCTTCTTGCATGTGTTGAGGTCTTCACAGCCACCAAAATTAGCTCCTTGAAGTAAGAGACTAGAGCTTCCACAGTCTCTCAGCTCCTACACACCGGGCTAGTGCTTGAGATTCATACTGAAATTACTGGCTACCTGGCCAGTGGTTACATCTTCAAGTTCAAAATCTAGACCTTCCCAAAAAACAAAACAGACTCACCCCCAACCCCTTCCCTCAAATAAGGGAATGCAGGCTACTACTTTAAGTAACATTTTTATTGAAGCCATTGTTTGCCAGACAGCACCTTTGCAGGAGATTGATCTTTAATGAGCACAGAGCCCTGTAAGGTAGATAGTATTTTAATCTTACAGATGAAGAAATAAGGCTGAGAAAGTTTAAATGACTTGTCCAGCAGCCCATAAGCAGCTAGTAAGAAGAGGAAAAAGAATTCTCCCCTTACTATTCTTCTTTCGACAGTACACAGATGAACTCTATCTCCTACCACCTGATCCTTGAGTCGCTCGACAGAGGAACAGACATGTATCTCCGTCCAAGAAGGCATCCCATGACACCTTCCCACAGGGCCTGAGAAGTGGAAGGGCTGGTGCCCACAGGCACAACTGCCATTTCACACCTATTCCAACCCAACTCTCTCCTCGGCCCATGCAGACTTGCTGGGGAAGGCAGAGAGATGACAGGCACACTTCTGTGCGAACCTGACGCCGGCCCGGTCTGCCGGCCCTAAAGGTACCGAACATAAGGCTCTCCTTGTTCTTCCAGGAAAACACTATCGATGTTTTCATCGAACGGCTTCTACTTCCAAATTCACATTACCATAAACCAGCTGCTTGTGTATTGAAACATTTCACGGGGACACTGTTTTTTGTTTTCAAAGAAATTGGAATTGAAGCAAGAAATGATGTTCCATTGGCATGCTGTGGTTACAGTGCTGGCTACAAGGACTGAGGGTTGAAAAACAAACAGCTAAAACTATCCTGTGGAGTCTTAACATGAAATACACCTCACAATATCCAAAAGGTACACATCTGAGTGTCTAAATCAGGCATTCCCAAACTACGGCCCGTGGGCCACACGTGGCCCTCCGAGGACATTTATCCAGCCCGCCGGGTGTTTTTGCCCTGTTTGGTTTTTTTACTTCAAAATAAGGCATGTGCAATGTGCATAGGAATTTTTCATAGTTGTTTTTTTTTTTTTTTTAACTATAGTCCAGCCCTCCAATGGGTCTGAGGGACAGTGAACTGGCCCCCTGTTTAAAAAGTTTGAGGACCCCTGGTCTAAATCATAGGTTCCCAAACTTTTTTTTTTTTACCGCCTCCTTTAAGAACAAAACTGACTCCATATCTTCATGGCAATCCATCACTTTTGTCCCACAGCCCACCCTCCAGGATGGCTCTAAGTATCCTCTCTGGCTCCCAACCCAACCCCCACCCTCCACTGTTCCATACCCTCCCGGGGTGGTCCCACCCACTTTGGGGGACACTAATCTAGATGATAGGAAACCAACGGAGGCAAACAGATAACTTTTTACATCTGCCTTAGCTGATCGAACTTTAAATAACCTTGTCGTGGCAAAGGCGTACAGAGAGCGGGAGGAGTTTGAAGCAGGGCTTTGAACAAGTTCGGAACCATTCTGCCGGGGCTGGGAGCGACCAGGGCTGCGCAGCAACCACATCACTTGTGTGTCAGATTTTGAGGCAGATTTTCATCCAAGTAGAAAACGGGCAGGGGTAGTTTGATCAGAGATGGCAGATACATTCAAAGCGGTGCTTTCAGTTAAAAATGTGGTATTACATTTTAAAATGAAATCAGAAGAGACCATCTGTTAAGCCAGGAACTTATGGTTCCACATAGGAAGCCATTCAAACTGCAGACGCCAAAACACAAGAGCAGCTTTACCAAGGAGGTCTGGCTACTTCCTCAGAGCATCTCTATCCACTTCATCCTTGGGTAGGATGAAGCTTGCCGAAGCCCACAGTCACACACACACACACTCCACTTACCAAAAGTGACTTCTCCTTTGCCTGCTTTGTCGAACAACTGAAAGGCCACCATGAACAAAGCATCGGGGGCACAGAGGACAGACTCAAATGCTACAAATTCCTGAAAAGAGATTAACCTGCGACAGAAAACACGGACAATGCGTAACATCAGTAGCTTGTGGAAAACACACGCATATAAAAATAAACACTAAAAAAGACAAACTGCCACTTTCAAAATACAATTAGAATCTGAAAACACATAGATGTGCCTTTTACCTAGAGTGGACTAAAATAATGCAGTCTAAAAGACATGGCAAATTTAAGGACATGGTGACACACTGAATGCATTATGATTTTAAGTGCAACTGTTTTACCCAACATATCATTTATGCTTCAGACCTCAATCTTCCTTCAGGCACATCGTTGGATCTGAGAATTAAAGCTTGGATGCTTTAGCTAAAGATATGACTATGTAACAGCAAAATAGAGGAGCTATGTCACTTATCAATTCTCTTATACATCACGTATAAATAGTTCATAGATATTCACTGCTGATATCGAATGACCACATGGAAACTGGACCAAGATTATTACAGAGGGAAAAGATCAAGATACAGATAAATCAAACATGAGACCTTATCCTTAAGGAACGTATAGTCTGTAGATAACTTGAGTTCAAAAAGGCAAATCATACGACAAGGACCAATATAATTTGAGCAGAATTTTGGTGGAAATGGAAGAAAACTTGGGGGCAACAATGGGATTCAAACTACTCTTGAGAATGCCAACAGGTATGCCTCAGAGATATTGTGGGTTTGGTTCTAGAGCAAGGCAATAAAGCTAGAACTGAAATGAAGTGATCCACATAAGTTTTTCCCACTACAGATGAAAGCCATGGCTCAACTATGCTGTAGTCCAGCAGTTCACAACCTATGGTTCGAA